CACATTGTAGCAATAAATCAGGAGTGGAATAAACAGACCTACCTAAAGCTACTGCAATAAAGTTATGATAAATTACTGCACTGTTTTCTCTGTGAAGTATTCTGGAACTATTGGTTTGATTATGGGTATATTTTTCTCCCTTTACATGTCATATGACTTTTTCCATATACTGTGGTCAGTGGAGAGGTCTGCCTGTGCTAGCAAACAATATAGGAAATAGCTTTATTGCTAAATATGGTGTTTTATCCTGGCCTTCTGTGTGCAATCTGTTTGTACTCTTGTGGACATCTTAAATATTTAGATATTTTCATACATATAGTCAAAGAGATTCTTCTTTGTGTGTAAAAGTAATTTTGTACTTATGAACAGTTACTTACGCCCTAAGGTATTTGGACCTAGTGAAGAAATTTCGCCAAAGATAGATCCAGTAAGAAGAATGAATGTACAGAAGTGAATTGAGAGTACAGAGCCTATGCTAAAAGTATTCAGAGATTGACTGGATTTATTCAAGCTATTTTCAAGAAGATGCAATTACCGTAAGTCACTGAGACCCTGCAGATCCAATTGATCAGAAACAGTGCAACAGCTCTAGTGCATAACAGAACAATCTGGAGAGGATGCCCTTTGTTACTTCAGAAAGGGCAGTTACTTGAAACCCAAGGATATGCTCTGGCTCCTCAGACAAAAACTTGCTTTCAGCTATTATCCTCATAACTTTGTCTGCCATGTGGTTTTGAAGGCTACAACTAGGAACCAGCAAGGTCCTTTCAAAATCAATTCATACAAATACTGTAAAGTATGATGCTCTAAATCCCAAAATGTAAACCTCAAAATTACATTGAGTTACTCAGTAGCCATGGTGGCCTCTTTTCTTCTATCTCCTTGCCTCTTGGGTAGGTTAAACTCCAAGGCAGAGTTAGTGTAGCCAGAAAAACTTCGGAGTTCACATTGTTTAACCTAAACCAGGATAGAAATGTCTAATTGATATGCAATTAACTGGCAACCAGTAGTAATAATATACCTTCTATCCATTTCAGTAACATAACAGGTAAACCATAATACCAGACACTGCAAAAATGTTAATAAACATTGCACATTTCTAAACATCCTTCTATAAATACTCTCTGAAGCTGTAGTCATGTCCACCCACCCACCCATGTTTACATAGCCCCAATCTCACAGTCAACGCAGGTTACAGTCTAACCCTCCTGGGGTGCAGCTTCCCTTCTTGCATGCTTGGAGAAGTGGGGGCCCCTGCTCTGTGTGTGCCTATTTCACATGTATCCACACAGGACCTGTGCCCATCCTTACACCTCAGTCAATATTTCCTGCAGTCTAGGCAGGAGCTGTGGTGCCAGCAGGCTGACTCTCCACCCCAAATTCTCTCCCCTGCTGCAAATTTTCATGCCACTTTTCTATTATTTCTCAAGCTGACTCTTTCTTTGTTTCAAAAGTCACTTTGTAATTTCCTGGTTACCGTTTAACCTTGCTGCTGGTTGCTTTCCTCTGTATCATGGTAAGTTTGGTCAAACACCCTCCCAGACAGTTCTGCACGTTCTAGGCACACAGGTGGTGTTATCCATGGGTGGGCTGTCTGAGCACTCCTGTGGTATATCTCCTACCTGTCTTCAGTGTCTCATTTAGCTTCCCTGGAGGAGCCGAGCAATTTTAGATTGCAATTAATGTCAGCATTTTGAGGCATAAATTATGCTCTTCAAACATCTGTGTTCTGCAGTGAGGTATAAAAGGAACATATACATTTAACTTGTACATAGACATAAGCCATATAGTCTTGTAGGGTGGGATTCCTCTATAGTTTTGACACCTGAGTGAATTGTGTTCATGTGAACTGTGTCTCTGAACTGCTGTTACAATCAACAAAAAGCTAATCAATGCAGTTAGTGAAGGGAGGTGTTCTAACTTTGCATTTATTGCCATTCCTAAGTTTGGTTAAGGAAAATCTTTCTTGTTTGTTTCACCAGGAGGCAAAACTGTGCTAGGACTGAGATAGAAGGCAGCCTTAGAAAGATTGCTACAGTTTGGTTTTATACTCTTTCTCAGGGCAATCCTTAGCTGACCAGTCAGCCCACTGCCCCAGGCTGCTCCAGCAGCTCTCCTGAGAAAGTAATTTGCAGAAAAATTTCCAAAGGAAAATCCCCTTGAGGTAATTACTGCAGTCATCATGACATCCAGCTCTGTGAGCACCACACTCTTCCACTCTTCTTCAGACTCTATAACTCTGTGCATGAAGTCTGCAAATCAGAATGCCTTTGTCAATTAAATTGCACTTCTTCAATGTGTCAGACCTTTAACTGATGGTTCAGTGTATTTTTGAGGAGCCAGAGGGATCTGTGTCACTGAGATTATAAACTTTGTGTTAATGACTGCAGATTTTAAAATCTGGATGTCAAAATGGGTATAGAAAAAGCATCGTAAAATTAATATTGAGTTAGCCAATTTTTTCCCAGTGGCTTTTCCTAAAGCAAAGACAGTTATTAGGAAGTGAAAGGTCAATACATTTAAATATATCTAAAGAATATTTCTAGTTCATTCTGCCTGTACAGAAAGTGTGTGCTTGACCCGTGTAATTTGATTGCATTTACACACTTCTGTAAGGCATTACATAAATATTTGGAACATACCTTCCACAGCATGCATCCCTGACAGGGATGAACATCTTCAGGCTTCTGAGAAGTCTTGCAATTCTGTATCCTATGGTGTCATTGTACAAAATATATGTGCATGTCTGAATTAAGTTTTACAGCCTACTAAACTGTAATCCCTATTTTTCTGCTTAAAAATTTGCCAGCCACAGGTCAGCTTTCTCCCAGATTAGATTCCTGTGATTTCCAACAGTTTTTCCTACTCTGTCCTCTTTAAACTATTTCATGCTTATTTTAATCACGCTCCATCAACAATGAGGTTGAATTTTGCTGGACAAGCACACTGTTCCCTCTGAAGGTGAGAGGACCAGCATCAATGCTGATAACCTGAAGAAACCTTTAATTCAGTATTTTGCTGTTGAACACAGATATTCATATACCTTTGTTCACTCATAAGAACCTGAGGTTGCTGCAGGTTTTCACACTTTATCACTCCTAATCCATATACTTTAAATTTTTTCCTATCAGTTGCAGAAAAACCTTTGGACTCCATCAGAGTCAAACCTAACCTGAGCTTGTTTAAATAGGATTTTTTATATGAATTGGAATTTAACCTGAAGTATTTGTCTCTTATCTCCAATGACCCTGGACCAGCCTGACTAAATATTTATTTTCAGCCATTGGCTTAGAATAAACACTGTCCTAAAACCCAATATCCACTGATGAGAACCAGTTAAGCAATATTTAATTTCCAGGCTGGCTAAGGAGAGCTGTAACTAAACTGCAGTTCCTTGGAGAAGCCAGTTTTATTTCAATGCCTGTTGTGTTGGCAGCAGTTGGCAATTATAGCCAACAGGATGCTCAGACAGCCAAAAGGGCAAGTCAGCCTGTATTTCCTCAGTTGTTACTGGAAATATAAATGTTGTGTATCATTTTCTGTCAAAGTGCATAGGAATAGATTGACAGTGAGGGGAAAATGAGCTAATGGGGCTCTTGCCCTTCCTTCTGGTAATCCCCATCTCTCCTTATAAAACTCTGCAACTCCTTATGTTCCCTGTGCAGCAAAATAACACAGCTTCTCACTTTGTTCTTCAATACCCACTGGAAATTTAGGAAGTTAGAGAAAGGTGCAAGCCAGTGTAGCAGGAAAAATTCAGAATCTGGCAGAGATGCTGGAACTTGTCCGCGTCAGCTGAAGAACCACCTTGGTGATATGAGCCTTCATTTTCTTTTTTTTTTTTCATTTCACATGAACAGTTTAATTAACTGATTTTGTCCTGAACAAGGAACTGAAGTAGTTCAATTTCACTCAGAGATGAATCTGGATTGGAATCAATTTGAAGAATGTGTAGCTTCTTCTTCTTAATCTTTGAACTGTTCTGTGGGAGAAATACAGCTTTGCTGGTCTTAGAATTTGGGAAGCAAGAGCTTCTTCTCAACCTGCTGTGGCAATGAAATGGAGCATGATGTGAGGATTTACATAATCTTTAAATGGTACCTCTGGGGCTTTTTTGCCCTAGAGACTCATGGTAAACTTTCTAAGCATAAAAATATAGTGTCATGTAATTCAAGATTTCAACATCACGTGAGTATCCTAAGGGCAGAGTTGAAGCTATATATGCAACCTTTTCTTTGCAATTTCCTGGCAGTCAAATGTTTAATTTTATAACTTCAGTCATATATACTGTTGTCATTTTTTTTCCTACTGGCATTTCAAATAGCTTTATTAAAAATCAGATAAGAAGTCCCAGGCACTACAAACCTTCAGTCCAGGTCTGTGACTGGGGGACATTTGTTTCAGTCAGTAAAACTTGGAAAGACAGCCACTTGTTGGAATAAAACCATAGGTGATAAGAACAGGGAGGCAGACAGACCAAATTCCTACTCTCCAGCACAACTGGATGATGGAATTACTGGAACGGACGAGAACAGCAAGCAAAGGAGGATTCATGTTAGCTGCCTAGTCAAGTATCTCTCATGGCTGGCTGTAAGCAGTGAGACAGTATTTTTTAAAAAGTGAAAAGTGCATATGGCTTTTAACTGCAATATGCTGCCTGAAGAAACTGAAAGCCATTCATCCATGCCTGTGTAGACCAGCGTCCTTGACAGTATTCATGCTCACAAGGGGACACTCCAACACTATCTAGAAAATCTCGTGGACTAGAGTGCAAAGAAATATGTTGTAAGATCTGCTGTCAGCACAGCAAATGCATCATAGCACATCACAGGTAACTAATGGTGTACCCCAGGGGTCCCTACTGGGTCCATTCCTGTTCAACATCCTTCTCAAATGTCTGGATGAAGGGGCAGAATGTACCCTCAGCATGTTTGCTGATGACACAAAACTGGGAGCAGAGAGATCTTCACAGGCTGGAGAAGTGGGCTGGCAGGGACACCATGAAGTTCAAGGGGAAGTCCTGCACCTGGGAAGGACCAGACTCAGGCATCAGTACATGTGGGAAGCCAGCAGCTAGAAAGCAGCTTGAAGAAAAGGGTCTATCTGACCATCAGTCAGCAGTCTGCCCTTGTGGCACACCTGAAGTACTGTGTTGGTTCTGGACTCTTCAGTACAAGAGGGATGTGGAGAGTGATCAGAAAGGGGCCACTAAGATGAATAAGGGACTGCTGCATTCCTTATATGAGGAAAGGCTGAGTGAGCTGGGACTGCTTAACCTGGAAAAGCTTCTCAGGGTCAGGGGGATCTCATCAATGTGTATGAATATCTGAAGGGAGGCTGTAAAGAATGCTGGGCTCTTTTCAGCACTGCCCAGTGACAGAACAAGAGACTATGGGCACAAACTGAAACACAGCAGGTTCCTTCTGAACATCCGGAAATACTTCTACTTTGACAGTGACCAAGCACTGGCACAGGTTGCCCAGAGAAGTTGTGGAGTCTTTATACTTGGAGGTATTAAAAAACTGTCTGAACACAGTTCTGGGCAACTGGTTGTAGGTGACCCTAATGGGTGTTGGACCAGATGACCTCTGGGGGTCTCTTCCAACCTCAACCATTCTATGTTTCTGTGATCGTGCTTTGGAGCCAAAATATCACATTGAACCTTGTTGCAGACTTCTGCTAAAGACTAACCCATCTGCTGTGGATACTTGTTCATGACTGTAGTAGTTAAAGGTCGTTAGAGAGATGCCGAGCACATTAGCCCTCAGTAGGGTTGTCTACTGAAGCTTCCATTATGTTACCCCCGTGGCACATGTATAAGTAGGTGATAATAGAAAATATATACTTGCATTTCTAAGTAAATTTAATAGAGAAATTCTGGTAAATAATATTAAATTTTTTCTTTCTGAACATCAATACAAAACATGTTCTACATGTACTTTACATACTTTATCTCTGAAGATAGTACTTTTTTACTATATATAAATGTCTCCTTGTTAATATAAGACTACTAAATTATCAAATAGTTTACATAGTTCAGACATTAATTGAGTCCTGTGCCATGTGATAACTCTAATGGAAATATCGTTCAAAGGTAGCCCCTTTCTTAGCACAGAGGACTCTGAGGCAACAAAATCTACCTGTGTCCCACTCTTTTTTCTGGGGCTCTGTGTCACTCCAGCTGTTTCCCGAAATCTCTGTCTGAAGCAATGAGATGGGTGAATTTGCATGAGTGATGAAAGCAGCTGAGGACAGTGCTGTACAGGCCAGTAAATATGCCATTGGGAGGATTTATGTGTCTGAAAACCACAGGATATGCAGAGTTCAGTCAAAACACAGGCTGCAGTGTTCTATTTAAAACTTGTTGACCAGGAGTAAGGATTTGTAGTCAAGGTCAAGTGGGATAGCCCTTGGCACAGTATGTTAAAAAGTGAGAAGGCTTTTACTTTGATTGTGCTATTACCTACTGCTGAAGAAATAAGCATTCATGGTTTCCTTTGCCTAGAGCCAGTGACAGAAAAAGGTTTTATCAAAGATAAAACCCTAGTCTGTGAGCAATATTTTTAAAACCATTAATACAGGTTTTGTTTCTGTTATACTTACTTGTAAACAAAAAGTCAATTCTCTACTAGTATGTTGTGTGGAGCTTTTCATGCCACTTTTCTGTGCAGATGAATAAGAACTGGAATTGATATTCCAAGGCAATTTTTATTTCTAATTCTAATTTCTATTTCTAATTTCTAATCTTAAGCACTGTTTTACTGTAAATGTTCAAAAATATATGTATTCTCTTTCACAGCTGCAAAGGTTTTTTGAGATATTCTTCAAAAACCGTTCTTCCCAACAAGCCTTCAACAACATGAAGGAGGCTATAAGCAAACTTTTGCTTGTAACTGAGGTCTTCAGTGAATCATCTGCCTCAGGACCAAGTTCTTTCAATCAGTAAGTGACTTGCAGTAGTCATTGTAATGCTAGTGTCAAGATAGCTCCTTACAAAAGAATAAAAATGGTAGAAGATACACAACTCCTGAAATAAAAAAATCCCATGTATTTCATACTTCTTTATGGAGTAAGGACATACTGCATTTAAGGAGTAAATCTCTTCAATGTCCACAGTGTTTCTAGTTTGTGGAAAGGTTATGATGAATACTTAAGACCAGATGCTGTGTTCTAATGAAGTGTTTCAGGCAGCACAAATGAACAGAAATCACCCACGATTCGGCTAGTCCCAACATATATAAAGCTGTATTTCCTTTCAGTGAGCCTTCTGTCATATGTCAAATATTTAATGCTAGAGTAGCCCAGATGGTTCAGAGCTGGCTGTGGCAAGCAATCATCTGAACAAGAGACACTGTAGCATACTTTATGAAATATACGTAAGCACCAACAGTCACATTTCTGTGTGTAATCATTTCTATTAGAGTGTTGTGGTTCTTACACGTAAATCAACCTCTCTTATGTAATCTTTTTACTAATTAATATTAATATATGTTCTATATATGTTATGTCCCATCCCTGACATTTTTATGATAAATACTAAATAAGTTGCTATTTATTATATTTATGTGTTTTATAAAGCTATTTTGAGAACCCAGGTGTTTTGTAGCACTAATGTAAAGCTCATTATTTGACTTACACAAGCTGGGAATAAAGCTTACATTGTGAGTGGAGAGGGTAGCAAGGAGGGGAAGAGTGTAATGGGATTGAAGCTATTTTGTCAGCGGTCCAAACTCTCTTTTTTACCAATGGGATGGACTCTCTTGCTTGTGCAACAGAAGACTTGCTGAGAGCTCCTGGCCTGTGCCTGGAAATATCCCAAAAGCTGCAGCAGAGCCCTTTGGCTTCAGTGAGCCTGGAGAGTTTCACCATCTATGGCCCTCCAAATGTCTACAAAGCTTTTGCAGGACATCATTCTCTTAAAAAGACATTTCCTCCTTCAGCATAATTCACCTCCCTCACTGGTTTAAATGTCAGCCACATAAATATACTTTCCTGTAACACTGTTTTCATCAGCTCACAATCTGACTCCACCTATGTTTAATGCCGCTGGCTTTTAAAATTCTATTTAGTCAGTATCACATGCTGTCTCCTGACCTATGTGTTCATGTTCTTGTGTGTGTTCTCTCAACCTGTGTGTGTGTATGGCATTTTACCATATAGAGGGATATGGTTCAGTGGAGGACTTGGCAGTGTTAGGTTTATGGTTGGACTCAATGATCATAAAGGTCTTTTCTGACCTAAATGATGCTATGATTCTGTATTTCACAGCAGTACCCCTAACCTCACTGTATCTGATTCCTGTTATATTGTATTTCAGATGCAGCCAATGTTTTCAAATGCTAACCTTTGACATTGGATTCGGCATCTCCATATACCCAGTAATTCTTGAGGTGAGAAATCACACAAATTATTGCTTGACCCCAAAAAAATTGCACCAAGAAGAACACAGCAGGAAGCCTTCTTGATAGGTACCCTCAAATGTGTGAGAAATGTACAAATATTTTAATACTAATTTTGCCTAGGGGTGGAGAGTTGCTATGGGAAAAGTCAGTTTTTAAGGGTCAGAGTTTCTGTGATGAAGTTCGTCACACTATCAAGGGGTGAAAACCGTTCAGTTCAGCATCAAAGGACTATTTATCACGAATATCAGTGAAACAAAATCCATAGGAAAGATTGTATGAAAGTAGAGGTAGATATTAAATGTGACAGAACAATGATGAAGAGAGGAAGTTATAATGCCACAATTGGCTTTTAATACAAATTAAGTTCTCCACAAATTGCATTGTACTTCTTCAGTTCATGACCTGCTTTGGCCTCCACTATGCTGCCTTCTTCGTGGAAGACCCTCAAGGCCCTCAAAACCAGGGAGTTGTGACCTGTGTCAGTTTTTGTACCACTTCTGTCTCAGAACAGCCAGTCCTGAAACAAGAATTGTACTGTTTTCCATCTGCTTCTCATCACCCCTGTATATACACATGAATATTTATATACCTAGCTATATAAAATGTTTGTCCGTATTGATGATGCACAAATATTTCAAAAAAATAGTAAATACATCGTCACTTAAAATCTATTCTAGTAACAACAGTGCAGTCAATCTCTCCCTCCTTCAGAAAAATATCCTTTAAACACAAAGAAAATATGGACATATGAAAGGAATTTTGCATAGTTATAAAAACTTCCTGAAAAAAATATCCTCAACGAGTCTGAGAAGACTAGTTTGTTTAGCTAGTATTAAGAAGTGTGGCATGTCATAACAATTCAATAACTGTATACCAAGCTGCAAAAAAATTCTCTCAGAAGTGCTTAAAAACTAAATAACTAAACATAAAGCATAATGCTTACCTGCCTATATAGAAGTTTCAACCATTAACCATAATCCATAAATATACAGTAAGTCAGTAAGTTTTAATTGTATCTTATGAAAATAGAAATTGCTCTAAAAATAAAGAGTTGGTAATGAATATAACACTTGATTTCAAATAATATCCATTTGAAATGGTAGTATGCACATCCCTCATGCATCTTGATGTAGCATTTGTGTTTAGGCTAAAGTGATGATTTAGTCATACTTTATAAATGTACATTTTTTCATTGTATTTATATATCTTGTAAAACTTATACTTTCATCTGTGGCAACAGATGTTCTGTAGTAACTCTAAATACTTGAGTTTTGCCAGAGTTATGTTAACATACAACCTAACATTTTGTTTTTCGAATGAAATGTCAAATCAAGCATGGGAAAAAAAAGCGCACATGAGTCTGCAATACTGCCTCTGTCCACTGGAGGGCAGCAAATATTGTGCTATGGAGTTGTGACCAAAAATGTGGCACAGCAGTCGCTGTATTATAATCCTCTCTGGGTCTGGTATTATTGCTTTTTTTGTGGGTTTTTAATATATAATTCCAGTTTAGTATATATCGATATGAGAAAATTGGACTTGATATTCAAACTATAAATTCTTACACTGTTTTCCACCAGGTGCATGGAAACTTTGACTTTCAAGATGAGGATGAATTAACTATTCAGGACCAAACTTTCAAAGAATTTCTTCTTGAAGATACTTTTAAATTTCTCCTATATAATGGATCTTCAACATCCAGTTTCATAGAAGCTTTGCAAAAGATACATGGATCAACACTGAGCAAGGTAGTTCATTCCACATTTTACTTATTATTAACTATATAAAAATCTGTAGTTTTATATCATATGCCTTTCTGAAATTGTTGTGGCCACTTGTAGAGTGAAGGGCTTATTTGATCACAACTCTCTGTTACTGTATTCTTAGAAATTAAACTGTAATTATATCAAACAATTGAATTTTCTTCTTTACAAATTCTCTCTATGCCATTCCCCAAAACACTGTGCTTTAAAGATATATTTAAAACTTTAACAAAGTAATTTTACCACCGTTTTTTAATGGTCTTTTTTAATATATAGATTTGTGTGTTTTCACAATTTCACCTGAAATTGATTAGCCCAATCAAGTAGATTCATGGGCATCAGAATTAAATTTTATTTCCTTCAGCTTTGTATCTTATCATGAATGCAAGATCCAGTTACAATTTGTTTTGCGTTTATAGGATCTGTATAAAGTTTGCATCACTAGTAAAAGCTATTTCTGACAAGCTGGGATCTCTTGTAGCAGTATTTCTCTCCGTCTGGGCACTTTCAAAGATGCATTGCTGAGGAGCCCCCTGGTTTTAAGACTTAGAGGGACTGAATTGTCCATGTGACTTCTGGCCCACAGACAGCTGTGGCTAAAACAGGGTTGTGGGTTCTACATTTATGACAGGATAAAGTAGAAAGCCACAGACATATGCACATGTATGATACGATTGCTCAATCCATGTTCCGTAGGAGACCAGTAGTTTCTATGGGTACTCTTCTAATCAAAGTTAATGGAAAGTCTACTTTATTCTAGACTGAAAAATGGTAAGAGCTGTCAAGGAGCTGGCTGGAAGAGGTTAGCACTGGTTGAGAGCTGCTGTAACTTGTTCCTTTGATCACCAAAGGGATTGAAGTCTAATGAAAGCACATTTCTTTCCATGTGATTTCACCAGAACATGCTGCCCTTTCCTTCACAGGATGGAACATACCACAGAGAAGATGAGCAATGTTTCTCTTTAGAAGAGATACATTCAATGATCACTTTCATAAAGGAGCTGAAGAGTCTTGGACAATTTGAGCTGGTAAAATAAACAGGGGTTTGTTTTTTTGCATATATATTTTATTAAATCTCTTCACATTTCTCCTTCGTTACCATTCTTTGCTGTCTATGGCACATGTATTATGCTGGATGGGCAGGGAAGCAAGGAGATAGAGATTATGCAGATTTTATTTTGAATTTAATTTAAAAGAGATAAATAAATACAACAGAGTGTTTGAGTTAAGGATTCATTAAAAAGGACATCTAAAGCAGAAACAGAGACCATAAAAAAGAATGAAAGGAAAAAGAGGAAAATTATGTAAATGACTAATGAGTTGTTAAGAATATGGAATGATAATGAAGCAAAGCAGGTGTGAATGGAAGAACAGGTTGTGACCTCAGTACAACACTGAGATGCTGACCTGAGAGTAGATATAGATGAAAAAGTGGCTAAAAGAAATAAATGAAAAAAAAAAAGGGCAGGTGGAATATGTAATACATTTTCTTCTTCACACTTAAAGTTCATTTTTGGAGAAGGAAGAACACAGATTGAGGAATAACAGTGTGAATAGACATGGTAGTTAGTGAGGGAAATGGTATTTGGAAAAGAAAAGCTATGCAACTAAAGCTGTTGTTCAGAAAGCCTGCATGATATCAGGATTTCTATTCCACCTCCTGAATGAGCATTAGGGATGGAGCCTGATGAGGCTTTCTGAAGAGGGATGGAAGTTGATTCAGAGACAAAGGAGTTTGGCTTCCATGTCAGTAGTAGTAATCCTGATTTGCAAGGCTGAGCAAGACAGTCATTTCCTACACATGTGGGAAAGAGCATTAATATATAACTATCTGTATGATATATATTGTCTTCTGATCATTTCTCATCTCTTTGCACTCTACAAATATTATACTGTGCGGTCTCTAATCAGTGCCTCTCTTCTCAGCTTTTCCCTTCTGCTGCACCCAAGATTCAAACATTAGTGCGTGACCTGTATCACATGGTAGACCCAATGAGGCGGCTTGGTTCAGTCCTGACTCTGCACTGGTTGCTTTCCAGTTTACTTGAACAATTCCAGTTCATGACTAAAGAGGCACATACAAATCTTTCAGAATGGTAAGACGCTTACTACGTATGTTGAGAGTAGTTTCTCAAATTTTATTAATTGTAATATCTCCAGTGAGCATCATAAAAATCCTTCAGTAGACGTAGGTGGACTTACAGCCCTTGAGATGAAGTTCCATCATCCCACCATGGAGCACTGTCAGCCATACTGCTATTAGAAATATAACTAGGTTTCTACATAGAACAGTTTTGCATCTCTTTCTAATACCAATAACTATGGATTCAAAATTAATTGGAACTACAGTAAATATTTTTTGAAGAAAGATGAAGTAAATCAGGGAGGTTGTTTCTGAAGAACTGTAAACTCTCAGAGCAATTTGACAGGGTTAAGACTGTTTTAATGTATGCACAAATGAAAAGCAAAACTATGGAGAAAATATAAAATTTCAGGTGAAGATTATTCCAAAAGCACTTATAATTTTGAGTGGCTCTAAATTTTCTGTCCAACAAGAGAGAGGCCAAAGAGCATAATACTCCAAGTACCTCATTTTAACTCTTTTTGAAAAGCTGGGAAAAGTACTGTAATGGCAAGGTTAGATTCACTGAACTTCTGGCAAGAAATGTTAACTTTCATAAAGAAAGAGGGAGGGAAGAAGGGAAGGATGGAGAGAGGGAAGGATGGAAGGGGATAAAAGAAAAGAGAGAATAAAAAATGAATGGAGGGAAGGAGAAAATTTGTGGTATACTGTATGTTTAATACAGATTTTGACAAAATGTAGTTTCTGTTTTCATTATCACTTGGCTAGTGGTGTTTCATATGCATGCATGCCATACTTTACTGACTACAGACATAAGATTTTGTAAACAAGGACTTGGGAACAGAGGTACATTAGATAGTGTGTGTGCTCCATCCCACTGAATCTCAAGTTGAAAGCATGAATTACATTCTTTTGTGCGTTTTGCTTGGAGAATGCTGCAATGACTATATAAGGTGTCTGTAAGATTTCTTAAGTTTTAATTTTGTTCCTCATTGAATTGGGTGTGGCTTTCAGCAAGTCATCCGTATCTGTGTTTTCTTAACTCTGAAGTGGGGTTTGTAGTTCACCACTGTGATAGGTAAATGTTTATTAGTGTTTTGAAAATACACAGTTCCATGAATGTGCTAAGTTATTGTTGTTACTGCCGACCACTCTGTGAGAAGTAACTCAGAGATGCAGCTGCTTGCATTCATGTGTAAGCCCTTGCCCTTTTGCAGAAATATTTAGGTTTGCATATCAAAGCATACCAGCCTTTAGCAGCTTTCTGTTCTAATCTAAGCTGTGCCACTCACTCACTTTGAGCAAGCCCCTTGGCCTCTTTTTTTCCTTCAAGCTGAACATTATTGTATGCATATAAATATGTAGAAGTACCATGACCTTTCTCCGGGGCATAGGCCAATCTGCTTCTTTGCACTGTATTTTTCTGCAATGGCCAAGCTAGTAACATGATTCTCTTCATTCACTGTAGAAAAAAACCATGTGCTTTGACATTGCTAAATCATAATCTTCCACTGCTATAGCTACATGCATGTGATGGCGATGCATGTGTCAGATATGCATATAATTACACTTAATTGCAAGGAAGAAAGAGCTTAGTGGAACTTACTACCCAAATAACTCAGGTATGCATTATCTTTGAACGTTGATTAATCTTTTTTTTTTTAATTCCCAGCTTTGATGAGTTTGTATATCAGAACACTTTTCCTGAATTTCTTCAGTTAAGACCAGATTGTTCAGTTGATTTATTTAACAGTTCTTATTTGACTATGCGAAATTGGTATTTCCGTTTATAAAATCTGATGACTGCATAACAGACTGTCCAAACAGAGAAGATACTTATGGGAAAAGTAATGACTTCTGACTGAGGTCTTGTACAGTTACCCTATTCACTGATCATGAATCCATAAGGTGAAGGATTTAAAGACAGGACTTAAAGACATTTCCTGATCTACATTTTTAAATCCATTTCATCTATATGACTAGTATTGAAACCTTTAATTGTATTAGTTAACTCTGAATTACTTCCACAGGAGAAGTAAGAACTCCTCTAGAAATTCATCTCAAACTATAGTGAAATGGTTGCAGTCTAGGTGAGACTGACCACCTCAGATGTATTGGTACAAGATATTACAAAGTTTTTTGAAAGTGATGGAGTGGTACATGCACTGAAATCAATTTTCTGCATTGTTTATACAGTGTTTTTCAGGTCAGTTTCAACTTTGGAGATGACTAGGACATACATAACTGCTGTCTTTAGAATATTTGGCTATGTCAGACAGCAGGGTAGCATGGAAGAACCAGATTAGTAAAGCTAACCCTTCTGTATTTGCAAAACCAAAAAGCCTAAACAGGTAAATAAAGTTGCAAATGCTTTTATGAAATCAACTGATACATTTGGAAAATATAGCTACCCATATGCAAGCCCTTTTTTAGATCAAAATAAAAGCAGCAGCCCTCAATTTGGGCTGAAAATAATTTCTTAGAGTTTAGCTTGGTCATGTCAATTACCTGTGCAGTTTGAGAAAGTATCATGGTTTGGACTATGGGACAGAAGAAGGCAATATCAAGGACATGTGCATAGGATCGCTGACCTACAATGGGAAGAATGAGAGACAGAGAGAAGAAGAGAGACAGTTGGGATTAAGTACCAGGAAACCAATCCCACTCTCGAGTCTGCAATTTTATATTTCTCTTCTGATGATCAGCACAAAGTATTTCATTCAGAGAACCAAATGCCCTCATGGAAAGTCAGTGACTTGAAGCCAAGCAAACACTCTGCAAAACAGACAGTTCACACCACCAGTCAATCAAACAGAAAAACATTGCTAGTGGTCAAGTCTCACAAGATTGCTGCCAGTGGTTCCTCATTTTGAAGAGAGACCAGCATAACATCATCTAAAGAAATAAAATTTATAACTCTACTGAATACTGAAATATGGTCTCAATCTTGAGTTTATCACCCATTAAAAATTGCAGCATCCACAACTAGCATATCAATCAGAGGCACAAAAAGTGACTAGATTTTTCCTTTTTATATTTTAATCTTACGAAATATTCTATTTCTACATATGCTTCACTGCTTTTGTGTCTGGTTGCTTAGACTATCGGAACTACATTACTGTTGCTGCTGTCAATCCTTTGGCTTCCTTGTTTGCTGAATCCAAGAGATTCCTAAAGGACAGATTCATGGTCAATGGTTTGTGATGTACATACTGGGGATCTTTCAAAAGGTACATTCACAAGCATGCACTCACCAAGGGTCCCGACATGCAGTCATTAGTTTCATTAGAACTAATTACAAAGTGTGTAGGCAAAGCACATATCTGTACTTGATAGCTCCTCCAAGATACTTAAGTAAATAAGGGGCCACTCATACAGATGAAAGTCTCCTCTGAGTAACAGGGTGTAAAGGAAAGGACTCTTCAGTGTCAAGGGTCTCAGCTGCTCCCTCTATTAGGAAGAGCTTCATAACTGCATCTTACCTCAGTCTGCTGTCTGCAAGGAGATTGGACAAAGGAAAACTTAAGGCTGCTGATGATTAAAATGTCCAGGCTTCAGCAGAGATAATCTGTAGAACCATGGAGTCATTTAGGTTGGAAAGATACCTCTTGTCCTGCCACTTATTACCTGGGAGAAGAGAACTATCCCCACCTCGCTACAATCTCCTCTCAGGAAGTTGTAGAAAGCAGTAAGGTGTCCTCTGAGCCCCCTTTTCTGCAGGCTAAACACCCCCAGCTCTCTCAGCTGCTCCTCATCAGACTTGTATTCCAGACATTTCAACAGTTTCATTGCCCTTCTCTGGACATGGTCCATCACCTCAATATCTTTCTTGTCATGAGGTGGGGCCAGAACTGAACGCAGGCTTCAAGGTGCGGCATCACCAGTGCTGGGTACAGGGGGATGATCACTGATTACATTGTAATAAGACTGTCTTTCTCTAATATGGTTTCTAAATGTTACATTTTGCTACCCAGCTGTAATTTGGTATAATTATTATATGTCTCTTAATTTTGCCTGATGTTAATTGCAGTCTCTACGGAGCTGACACATGCAGGTCATGCCATTACTTTGGGAGTAGGGACCTTGCAGTTGTGGTGGCTGCCACACCCCCATGGGGTCTTCTGACTAAACCAAAGTCTGGCATTTTATAGAGTTGAGACATCTTGTTTTCACCTTACAGTAAGGCTTAGGACCAGACAAGCAAAAAGGAACAGTGGAGAGAAAAATATATTTGACAGGTGTTAGCTATTACCTCCTTGGCAAGCAGAAAGTGGTGCAAAATGACTTACAACTTGGATAACAAACTCTCTAATAGTTTGTTAAGTGCCTCCTTTGAAGTAGGTCAAGAATGTGCATGAAATTAGGGTGGTGTCTAGACACTGCAAGCTCAGAACTACATTTTCATGCACACACAAAGGCACACATCTGCCAGCTGCTTCTTTCCTTATCTCATTGAGATAATGCAGAAATTTCTGGTTTATTATTGCACAGTCTACCTTTTACCATGATCGACCTCAATGTTGCTTTGAGAAGCTCCTGTTGAAACATTAATGATGGATGATTGCATAGAGCAATATTTCCACCTCCCTGCCTTGCACAGACAGTGACTTTGTGCCTTTCAAAATCCAACCTGCAGTATCTGGGAAGAAGCTGCTTTATGAGAACTTCTGCGGAAAACACTGGGACGAAAACATATGAAAGCTTCAAGAAATGCTGATGGACCACTGTAAAGGTCTTATCAGCCAGAGGTCCAGTACACAGACTGGAGAGAAGCCTACTCCCTTTCTTCTACTATGCTCCTAAAATTCTATTTAAAAGAAAGAATTTGCAGAGTTTGCAATATGGGCACCACTAACCTGTTGATGTATTGTTGCAATTGAATTGTCTTTTTTTCATGGAGGATTTACATATACGTATACTCTGAATTTGTTTTGAGTTGGCAAACAAAGCAAAACACAGAAGTTCCGTTTTAGGAATTCATGCTAATGTCAGTACAGGTATTCCCCTTGACACAGGTTTTCATTTATGTTTAATTCTTTTGGAACAAAGAATACCTTTAACCTCAAGTATATGCAAAAACTGCATAATACAAACAGTTAAGAGATATAGTTTGAATTATTTTATTCTTGGCTATATCCACGCTTCTTTTTCACAACAATGTGACTGTGTTTTGACATTTATTTCTTATTTTCTCTTTTGATGTGGTATGTTACCATTTATTACAGAATGTGTGTTTTCTGTAAGGTTCACTCAGGTAATATTGTTAATGCTGGGAACGTGAATCCAGAAGGTTCATCTTTCCATGGAGAATATTTAAATACCATGTGCCCTGAGATGCCATATAGGAACTTTTGAAAAATGTTTGATGGATTCTGTTCCTTCCATTCATGTAGAAATATGTCTGCTGTTAATTGACAGGCAATCCTCTCAAGAAAATATGAGTCCTAAGTGGAATGTGCCTTCTGACTTCAGGAAGAATCATGAAGGTAAGGGATCAGAGTAAGGTCTTTTATATACAGTATGTTTTTCCTATTTGTATTACTTCTGATAACATATATGGTTTAGATTGCATTGTTTTGAAATCCAGCTGGAAAATCTTGGCTTACTACTTGCAAAAATCCAGTTTCTTCTTTGTCTGTGTGAGTTGTTATGCTGAGCCCATGAGTAGGAGTCATGAGCCTAAAGCAAAGATATCACGCTGTAAATAATAAAAACACAATTTTTTTTTATAATTAAAAGAGAGTTCCTTCTCCAATAGAATTGTAATTGGGCATGAAGTAGAAAATTATTACTTGTTTCCATTTATCTTTCAGCATTGCATTATTCCAGAAAGACTAAAGAAAGACAATGCAGTTATGGTAAGTCAAGATCTATCTAGACTACTGAGGGGGCAGAACCAAGATATCTTGAACAAATTTATTGAGTTTTTCTGCATAACCTCTCAGTGAATAGAGTATCTTATGTTATATAAAAAAAAGGAATTTTAACTAGCAAGAATGTTTCTGAAACACTCAATAATTTGGCTATTATGTTAAGTAACCCTCAAGCACAAAATTAAACATTGCTATGTGTGCATATTAATGTGAGTATTCCAGCACTTATTGATCCCTTGCCACACTTCAATAGACTTTTTCCCCATATTTCCAAGAACTTAAGCATACATTAGTTCTTGTGGATAAACCTTTAAACTTGTCTAGAGTTTAATCAGCTTTGTTTAAGGCCAGTATTCAGCTCAATAGAGTATTAAAGAGCTGCTTAAGAGACTAGGAGTTTTTCTAAAATAACTTCTTGAAGGAATATTCAAAGTATGTTTAAAGTTCTGTAAAGATTTCAAGTATATTTTTCTTTGGTGGGAGCAATACTTTGTGCTACCTGCCTCACTGACACACTATCTGAGGAGTCACTTTGTACACATGAAGCCATTGCTCTGTGGTGGAAAGACTTTTCTACCCATTGAGCCTCATGTCCCCTCTGCTACTGATCTCATGCTGCCTCTAAGAACTACTCTGTGTCAGTCAGAGAGGGGAGATGCTCCTGAGCTGTAATTTGAAAACACCTTGATTAATTTTATTTTGAAATTCCTCACAATTTTTAAGCTAGTATTGAGACAACATTTCTAAGTAAGGCATGCAGGATGTGGAGACTTGTTTATATTCACTTGTAGTAGCTTTTTTAAATACTTACTCTGTGTCAATGTATAAGACTCTATTCCCCCACAAATTTAGCCCAAATCCTGCTCTTCCAATGGAATAAGAATCATAATCATAGAATCATCCAGGTTGGAAAAGACCTCAAAGATTATCGAGTCCAACCCTACTGTGGTTACTAGACCATGGCATTAAGTGCCACATCCAGATTCATCTTGAAAACCTCCAGGGTCGGTGAATCCACCACCTCTCCAGGCAGCCTTTGTAACTTCCTTTATATTTTAATCTGTGAAGAGAGAGCTGAAATTGCCCTGGTTTTTTTCTCAAAGCAGATATTTGAAGGTAGGAAATGTTCACATGGAACTGCTTGCATCCTTTATGACCCTTTTAAACCAGGTTTTAAGACACAAGATCTTTCAGAAATTATGATGAAAGAGTTTTCTATCTGGAATATTTTCCAAAGTACCCATTTTCAAAAATGTATGAGTGAATATATGTGGAAAGCAGTTTTGAATGTGTAATTATATAGTAAATCTGAATCCAATAGGTTGGATTAAAATATTTGTCGTAAGTGGGTTGCCAGCAAATAATTATTCTCATGAGTAATTTGGCAAACACTACAAAATAAAGGATGCATTTGAGCAAATAGGATTTGATTGTGGAGATTTCATACAGAGGAAAGGAGCTGGAATTTGTTGATTTAGGAATTTTAATAAAACATTCTTCCAGCTGTACTGCAAATGACCCCATGGGTCTAGATATCTCCATGTGACTTGTTCTTAGGAACAGTAAGAATATGTCTTAACTTATTTTGAATTTTATTGGAAATTACACTTGTACATAAATCCCGTACACAGGCTGGTACCTAAGAAGGTTATGAATTTTGGCCTACCTCTTCTTTAAGTTAACCAACTGGAGACAGATCTCTGAGACATAATCCTTGCATTTTCAAAGGCTTACTCAGGCTTTGAGTTTTGTGACTAGGACTAAAGTGGTTGGGCACTGAATGATTAAAATGCCTCCAAGGTCTAAAAATTTCTCTCAAGTGCCATTACAAACTCCATTAAGACCTTGCAGCAGGATTATCAGTCTCAGAGTGACTAGGCATTAAGTACCTTGCCACTGTACATGTTATCAATCTGCCAGAAGTTGCGTGTTACTCAAAAATGTTCATGCATTTCACAGTTTTTTCTTTGATGCCTTCTTGGAACAGATAAAGATACCCTATCTCATATCAGGCAGATCTTCACCAGTCCACAGCTGGAGCTGAATCCTCAGTTTAACCCAAAGATCAAAGAATACTATGCAGAAGTCCCATTTGACATGGTGACAGTGAAGATAGGAGCAGAACCCTCAAACTGTCAATGCCAAGTACACCTTGATGACAAGAAAGGGCCAAGGTATGAGCAACAAAATATGAGTGTAAAAACTTAATTTTGGAAATATGTCAGAATATTCCAGAATTGTTTTGTGTTTTCAAAAACCCAGAAAGCAGACAGATTAGTCACGGGAAAGTCAGAGGGAGTTCAACACTGAGAAACTTGTATTTATTTTCAATGTCCTGAAGGCAATGGTAATAGGTTCTCAAGCCATAATTAACCATAACTTTATGAAGTGCACAGTTGCTAGCATCTCCCCAGCTTCTACTGTCACTGACAGCATCAAAGCTGGGTAAGAACAGACTGTTACTGCGCAGCACACAGTAGACAAAGAATTTGAGCTTTTGTATCCAGGCGTTAATTTTGCACTGTGCTCTAAACTACTGCACCACTGGGCTTGGTCCTGCTTATGTGAGTTGGAGTAGGGCAGCTGAGGTCAAAAAAAGAAGTAAGTTCAAGTTTACTAATTCAGAATGACCCATTTTTGTCAGAGTTTTATTATAAAGAATTGTCATAGAATCATAGAATCATTTACATTGAAAAAGACACTTATGATCATTAAGTTCAGCTGTAACCCAGCACTGCCAAATCCACCACTAACCCATGTCCCATCTACACATCTTCTGAATACCTCTAGAGATGGTGACTCAGCCACTTCCCTGGACAGCCTGTTCCAATGCTTGTCCACCCTTTCAGTCAAGAAATTCTTCCTGCTATCCAGCCTAAACCTCCCCTGATGCAATTTAGGGCCATTTCTTTTTGTCCTAATGCTTGTTACTGGGAAAAGAGACTGATCCCCACCTGGCTACAACCTCCTGTCAGGCAGTTGTAGAGAGTGATAAGGTCTTCCCTCAGCCTCCTTCTCTTCAGGCTAAAGTCTCAGTCAATCCTCATAAGACCTGTGTTCCAGATTCTTCACCAGCTTTGTTGCCCTTCTCTGGACACGCTCCAGCACCTCAATGTCTTTCTTGTCTTGAGGGGCCAAAAATGAATACAGGCTTTGAAGTGTGACCTCACCAGTGCTGAGTACAGTGGGACAAACATTGCCTTAGTCCTTCTGGCCACACTATACTTAATACAGGCCAGGATGCCTTCTTGGCCACCTGTGCACACTGCTGGCCCATGTTCAGCTGTTTGTCAACCAGCACCCTCAGGTTCTTTTCCAGACACTCCTCCCCAAGCCTGTAGGATTTCATGGGGTTGCTGTGACTCAAGTGCAGAACTTGACACTTTACTTTGCTGAACCTCAAACACTTGGCCTTGGCTCATCAATCCAGCCTGCCCAGATCCCTCTGCAGAGCCTTCCTACCCTCCAACAAATCAACACTCCTGCCCAACTTGGTGTTATCTACAAACTGACTGAAGGTACACTCAATATCCTTGTCCAGTTCACTGGCCTGGCTATTGAGCCAGTTTTTTACCCAGCAAAGTGTATGCCCATCCAAACCATGAGAAGACAGTTTCCCCAGGAGAACACTGTGGGAAACAGTGCCAAAGACTTTAGTAAAGTCTAGGTAGACAACAACCACAGCCTTTTTCTCATCCACTAAATGAGTCAACTTGTCATCCACAAGAGAACCAGCTTATCTGATCTTTTAGAGAAACATAAAGCTAGACAATAGAGGAGAGAGCAGGGTCATCACTAATCGTCAGGTTTGAGCACTGATCCACAATCACCCATGATGTTTAATTGCTACTATGATCCTTGGCACAGTCTTGGCTTTCCCAGCCAGCTCTCTCACAGACAACTACAAGTGCCAGGGTCAATCCTAATAGGCATTTTTGGTATGACCTGGTTTTGAATGTTGGGAGCAACAAAAAGTGTTTCTGTGGGTCAGGTACCTTAAAACCAGAGAACTGGCCTGCTTACATACTAGGCATTAGTGAGTGGAATAAAGGGAGAGCAGGGACAATGATCTTTGTGGGCAGAATCCTTAACCATTACAGAGCTAGCTTTGCTTCATGACATGAAGTGCTTATGCAACACACCATCTTTTGAGTGACTGTGAAGCACATACTTTGACCTAGAATGTCTGCTAATAACCAGACAGTCTGTACAGTTGTTACTCATCTAATGCCTAGTATGTTTCCTGTATTTTCAGTAAGAAATCAGTCTTGATTTATCATTTCAAAATAAACTGTCATAAAATTCTTTCACCCAAAGTTTTGGTGATTTAATCTTTACTACCTTAGCAGTCAACATGGAAGCATGTGAAAAACAGAGACTTCTTCCTTCTAAAAAGAATACAGAATACCAATATGTCCTTTACACTGAAAGTAAAAGCCCTGAATGTGCAGGTTCTCTGCCTTTCAGCATTTCTCATTTCCCTGCCAAGGGATGAAGAGCACAGCTCAGTTTTGCTCTTGTCTGTCACTCTGAGCAGTTTGTCTAGGACTCCATCACATTTGGCTACTGGAGAATTTCAGCAGCTGTCTGACACTTCTGATCATCTTTGCTTCCCTGCTGACTTCATCACAAACTTGGACCTGGCAGGAATTATTGTCCCTAATGGTTTCATTCACAGATTTCATATCAGATTATTTTCCACTGCCACTGAAGCTATTTTCACTAAGTTTTACTGTCAGTATTTTGTGTTCCTGAAAGAGCTATAAATTGTTGCAAAGCTGATTTTACACTGTTTTTATTTAAAATAATATGTATTTTGTAAGGGAAAGAAAGTGTTAGCCTCAAGGAGCAAGTAAAGTTTAGCAGAAATAGATGAAGCAGTTTCTTTAGTGTTTATTTAGTTTCTTTGGTATTTATCTTTGTTTATTTAATGTTTATTGCAATTCTTTCCTATTTTATTGTGCAGCACTGCTAAGTATCCCCTTGGCCTTGGACTGAACAAAGTCATCATTTTCGTAACGGATGATTCTCAGCCCAGCCCCCGGGTTGTGAGCAGCTACAGAATCACAGTTTATCGGGAGGACCGCCCTAGTCTGCCGTTGTTTGATGACTATATGATGTGTGGGTTTGTGCAGGTATTGTTTCTGCATTCTTTTGCTACACAAATTAATAGTGATACTACCTGGTTTCCGTTCATGCAGTACTATAAATTAGGGTACGTGGGACAAAGTTGATGTAGAGTCAGTTTTTGTTGAGATTGGAATCTGAATTCTAAACACTATAATTGTATGAAATTTAGCATTTACACAATGTTTTGGATATAAAAGGTAAATCCAGCATAAGTATCTGTTATAATGTATTTGAGAACTCCGGGTTAATTTATCCTTACTTTGGTCAGCCAAAACCTTCTCCATGAGGAAGGTGTTGTCTGCTTCTGAGAAAACAGTCCCTCTGTAACACACAGAGGGCAGTTTTCATATCTATCTGTGATGTTGGAGCCATGGAAATCCTTTTACCAGGAAAGATATTTATGATAACTGTGTGTTTATCAGTGTTCAAGACAAATGCCACTAGATAATTTATAAATGAAAACTGTTTATTCTAGACCAATAAACACCACAAAAAAAAAATCCCCAATGCTAGTTCTGAAGGAAGGGATCATTGTTGTTTACATCACATTTATCTGAATATAAATTTGGAAATTTGCATAAATTACTTCTACCAAATAACAGTTCATAGGAAGCAGTTGGTCTGTTGAAGGGAAAAAGGGGAGAGAGTCTGTCCAATAGGGCTAATTAGGGGCTGGGAAAGGGGAGCTCAGGCTGAATTATACACAGAATTGGAAGAAAGGTAATCAAGGAAAGTAATAATGAAGATTTCAGTTAGTGAAACTATGGTGATAAAGATATTCTGCATGAAATAGAAAACCTGAGACACAGGCTGGACCAGAGCTGTTTGTATTCCAAAGGTTGAGGACTAAATGTTAGTTGGTACTTGATATGGTGGGCAAAGATAAGCCAGCCAGTTCAAAGAGAGAAGTGACATTGTAAATGGTAATCAAGGGGCATGCTTTTTTCTGTGGAATTTTAGGCAGATTAGAAGGATTGGTGGGTTCATTCTAAATATCAGAGCATCCAGGAGTAATATATTTTGTCACAATTACTTCTGAAACTAGGAAGCAAGATTTGGAAAACTGTTGTGTTGAAACTATCATCTATGCTCATCTTATCTTTATTTATCTTCTTTACGAAGATCTTAATATATCATTTTAGTTAAACTTGCTTTCCTTCTCTGGTTTCTTTCTATGTACTGCAGTAAGAAGTTGGGAGACCAGGGTGGTAGAAGGTAGAGCTTTTTATGTGATGGGGCAGATCAAGAGGGATCTTTTTTTTTCTTGTGAAGAAAGTATTAGGGCTTAAAACAGGAGCCAAAGAGATTATAAATGTTGATAGCAAATTGTATGTTGACAATAATTATCTCAATCTGCAAATCAGAGCTGTCAGAGAAAATGTATGTAGTAGTCATAGCCTACTGACTGCTGATCTGAATACCTGATTATGGTGTTGTCTGGCTCTCTACCTATTTTCTGTCTCTTTTCTTAGACTTCTCTTACAAGTTCAAAAGGACCATCTTCTTGCTCTTTGTACTGGCTCACCACTAGATCTAGCAGTTGCTACAGTAAAGAATAAACATACATAATACCTAAGATTTCAGTTCAGGGCTACAGCAACTTACCAGACACCTTCGGGGTGAATTAGTATGAAAAGGAGCAATACATTGAACAGGAGTTGTATTACTTGGAGAACACACGGGCTGGAAAGATGTGAGGAAAATCTTGTTTTGTTATTTGGGGCATGTATCTAGGTATAGGAACAGGAATTCAATCTCATACACATCCTCCTACACTAGAGTTTACAGCATTGTTAATGTTTTGTGATAGCATTTATGAGACTGAGTATGAATCTTTGAAGCACAGTGAAGGCAAAGAGATCTAGAGTGATAAAAATGAAAAGTGTTTTAGAAGTTTCTTTTGATTGAGCTTGGTTTTCTGCTCCTCTGTGAATAACTACTCTCTAATTAATATAATTGTTCAGATCTAGGGATGACTTCAGGAGTTTAGAGTTAAAATGAGATGAAAAGCATTCTTGTGGTATCTAATGAGCACTGTGAAGATACAGTATGAGATTCTAAAACAACTTTTAGATATATTAAAGGCAAACTTATCAGAGAGTGCATTTTAAAAACAAATGAAGGCTGGAGCTGGAGATAGAAATAGCTTTCTGAAACACTTAAAAGCCTGCATTTCTTCCTCTTTTTCCTATTTGTAGAACAGAATTTATTGCCTTTTTCTTGGAATTGTGGGGTTTTTTACAATACAAAGCTGAGGTCTTAAATAGCATCATTACATTCTGTATTTCATACCAGAGAATATTACGTGCTCTTGCAGAGCGAGTTAATACACCCTCATCAATGGCATGAATGTTTGTTCTCTTAGTAACAAGACACCTGTTTTGGGAGCAAAAGGATAAATACAGCGTGAACTGATGGAGTCTCCTTTGGACACTTGACTAGGCACAACTGGGATCACACATGAGGAGAGAAAGGTCGCTGACAGTGGTGTGGTCTTTCTCACAGAAGGCTTCAGTTAAAATTCTAATCCAGTGACTTTTTTTCTTGACTTTCTTTTATGTTTAATCCCATTAGGATATTCGGGTTTCACTGCAAGATGATACCATAAGGAAGGTTACAATAGAAAGACAGAGTGCAGGATGTTGTTTCCAGTCTTCTAACAATTCTCATGCAGTTGAATAATACTGGATTAATTTCAAGGCTATTGAGTTGAGAAGTGTGTGATTCCAAGCCTTGCAGCCCCTAAAAGGGGAAAAAATACTGTCCTCTCTACTTCTTGATAGAAACTATAATATCCTCATTAAAACCAAATTAGTAGGGGATAAACTGCAGCATCATCATAGCACCTTCAGCAGATTTGGTTGCCTTCCATTGTGTGTTCTGCATTGTGACAGTATTGTTTGGACTGCAAATGTAGAGGTTATTGATTTGTGCTTGAACTTAATTTTGTGCAATTGCTGGCAATATTCAAATCAAGTATCTGGGAAAGAAGTGGTGCCATCTCATTATCACCTCTGAAGCTGTGATACCAAGATAGTCAGGATTCAAAGCAGGCAGCAGAAAAACCAGTGAGCTCTTAAGACAGGGTTATCAGCATCAGTCTCAAGTGAAAGATCCCAGACGGGGTGCACACTGTTGTAATGGTCAAAATATTGTATTCATTCTTGCACTGCCCATTATCTTTAAAATGCAAACAGATTTATCTATGCCTCACTTGAAATGTGTGGTTGCTGCATCTTTTGTTGTTAATCTTTGCCTAGTTGCAGTCGTGGAGTGTAACTGGTGATGTGCTTAGGGAAGCTTGTTCGACACTGTGAACTTTTGTACCTAGTGTGTCCTCTTGGCACATGGCTTTGGGTTTTTTGTTGGTTTTGGGGTGGGTGGGTTTTGGTTTGTTTCAGTTATGTATTTTAGTAATATAGTTATTTACTTGGGTTTACATTTATATTGTGAGTAATGGATATCCCATGTTACAATTTTTAGCATAGTGTTTTATTCTCTTTGTCATTCTCTTGTTTGCATTTACAGAAAGTGTAAAAAAGTTAATTCCAGAATCAGTGCAGTGCAGTGGGCTGATGTTCTGCCTGTCCTATAGCTTTCTCAGGTCTGAGAGAATGGGCTTACAGAGCAGCTCTGAAAACTTTCCTGATTTTTATAGAACACTTTATTCTCAAGTAGCATTATCTCTTGCCTTTTTGTAAATCCTTATATATCTTTTGCTAGAGTCCAGATAACAAAAGAAGCCAAACAGAGCTGATAATGAGATACTGGCATAGATTGCTGACTGTATAATACCAAATGCCTGCAATGCAGCTGGAAACAAGATGCCTGCAACAACATGTTGTTTTCCTGATCTACTAAACTTCCACTGATGAAAAAGCAATTAAGACCGAGGCCTAGTATAGTAACTGTATTTAACTTTACTATAGACTTTTAGGAGTAGAGCTGAAACACTTTTTAGAAAGGAAGGAGCATTTATTTAAAAAAAAGTAATTTCATTTTTTGTTAAGGAAGATAGTAGTGTTTTTTCAGCTCAAGTTACACATTTCCCAAGGAAAATAAAATGGTTTTACTTTATTTTAAACTGTGTGCTATTACAGCTACAAAGCTTGTTATACCAGACAATACAAGTTAAAACTGTCAGTTAGGAAACATCTATTAACTCTTTGCCTAGTACTTTCATGAAAAGATTTCAAAGAACCTTGCAAATATTAAATAATGTCCATAAAAGAAAAACAAAAAAAAAGTTAGGAGGGAAACAAAGAACTTGTCCTGTAGTAGGACAGGCTGGGAGAACATTAGTCTCATCTATATTTTCCATTGGCTGCATTAGATTCTGTATGACCACCAGTACAAACCACCCATCTCTTCTGTCCTTAGCACACTGTGGATGCCTTGTGCAAACTCTTAGGTCTTGCAGTGCTAGTTATAGCCACAGCTAACCCTCTTGGCAGTTCTGGGTTTGAGTGTCTTGCTTGAGAAGACATGGAAAGTGCATCTCTGGAACTGAATACACAGCTTAATTATATCAATTAGAGCAACCAGACTGTATCTTATTTGCAAAATTGGATTCCTTCCCTTTTAGAAAATAGAAGAATATCCATTATAGGAGCAATCTTGCATTGCATTCTTCAGTCTTCTCAGGTATTAAGCTGGTGAGAATTTTTTTCAATGGTTTAGAATTTTTCAGAAAACAACAAAAAATGCCCCAGATTTCAAAAAAAATAGTTTGAGTTCTCTTTTTTGTTGAGGGTTTTTTTTTTTTTTTGAGAGGATGTTTTGATTCAGTGAGGATTATTTGCTTAAAACAGTTTAAAATTTTACGTTTTTATTGGTATAACTGCTAAATTAGATATTTTAGCTGTTGTGCAATCCAGATTTTTTCAAGGAGGGAGTGGCTGGGACAAGCAAAAAGACCACTTATTATTAGATCTGAAATACTCAACTCTAAATTTTTTTCAGAAACACTGTTGAAAGCACAGTATGACAGTAATTTTTTCCAGGA